CCCTGTCGTTGATTTCACTTATTGTTTTTTCAACATCTAGGCTATCAAACAAGTCATGGTTGTACCGCAGCGTAAAATTCAACGCACATAATTTGAAGTCACATCCAGATGCCCTTACAATCCGAAATGCCCACCATGTTGACGGAGGCATTATGAATTCCATTAAATCTTGTAAAGAGTTATCGTCGCTTCCTGTTCAAACTATAAAAGAAAATATTGCAACGGGCACCCCAATTCGAAATTTGAAAATAAAGAGTACAGAAAGGAGTGAACTATCGGACCAACATTTTGCACGTTTGAGAGAACCCATCCAGTGATTCCACTTCCGGGTCCTTGTTTTAAACTAAACAACTAGGCCTTCAAACTAAACATGGTTGTACCCCAGCGAAGCATTAGTGACTAACACTGATGTCAATCTGTTGCCGATCGCGATGAATATTATGAGCACGGTGATGACGATGAGAAGGAAGAGGATGACGATGGTTTTGACGATGATGACGATGACGGTGAGTATGGTGACAATGATGATGATAACGATGTTGTTGATGGTGATAAGTGACGACAACCGATTGGTTGTTTGTAACCGTTTGGTAAATATCAAAATCTAGTCAAAATTCAGATCACAAACAAGCCTACTGGACATATGTGCTAACCAAAATGAAGTGATGCGCGCTACCATTCTACATAATCAGATCATGAGAAGATATCGACGATTTGTGTGGCCTTGCACTTGTAATAATTTCTTACCTAGCAAACGTAATCTTTGGAACATGATTAAAGTTCATCCCACCAGTGATTAAATCTTGTAATGTGTTATCATCGCTTGCTGTTCAAACTAGAGAATGAAATCTTGCTACGCGCAACCCAATTCCAAATATTAAAAATAAAGATTACAGAAAATTGGCGAACTATCGGAGCAACATTTAACTGGTCCAGGCCCTTGCAATTTACATAAGCTACATCCATAGAGAAAAGTAAATTTCTTGGTTCGAGGTTTCGCCTGAAGTTCGATTTCGCCCAACTATAACAACTAGAAGCGTCGTGTGACCATCAACCTAGGCAGTGAATAAACACCCAGCTTTTGAGAGGTTTACGCTGTGAGTCCAAATGATTGGTCAAATTTTAAGCTGACCTACTGGAAATAAACATTTTTCTGGTGGCTTTTAACATAAAAATACCGTATCAGTATCACCATGGACCAAAGGTATCAGCAAATGTACGTATGTAGCAAATTGCCACGTGAGACCGCTTTGAGGACTCAGTTTGCTGCTCAGTAGTGTCTGCAGCGCATAGGTGCTCAATGGGATGATCCACATTCATCCTAAAACATCATGAATCACCAATGTGAGCAGGTTGCTGGAAGAAATTAAACAAGGAGATCAAAACGGTCGATGTAACCCTGGTTAGAAAAAACTCCATACCGCAGTGCTAGTAGATTTGTGGCTGATAGCTTTTCACACTATCGCCATACATGTGTAAGGCAAATCCGATTTAGAAGAGGTTTAGTATAAAATTCGGGGCAGATGAAGCTTTGAGTAAGAATGAACACGATGCGCCGTTGTCTGCTTCTTATTGCGTTCTTGTTCTGCATCGACCACGTTGAATGGGTGGAAGCTGCCGGTGTCCACTACTGGTCAGCGATATTTAACGACGAACCGTCAGCTAACTGGACAGTCTTTATGGCTTCTTTATGGCTAAAAACGTGGAGAAATTATCGACATCAAGTACGTCTCAGTTGGAGTTTTTACTGATTTTATTGTCCAATTTTTATCTAAACTCCACAGGACATAATTTTCCAAGGGCTATTGGCACTAATGGTGCACCAAACAGTTGTGTTCTACCCAATTTCCTATATGGCTGTGATGCTCAACCGAAAAACCCTGTTGATCAAATTCACAACCAGCGTGTACATATCTCTTGGCCTGTGTTCGTTTTCGACAGTATTTTCCATGTCGTGCTCAAACAGACCAATTCCGAGGGCACCGGAAATTACATGCAATATGAGGAAATATTTCTTGAGTACTTGGTAAAATCAAGTAGTGGTTATTTAAAATAAACACAAAGAACACCCCTCTGATTGAATTCACCAGTTCGCTCGTGCCGTTTTCGCGAGGGGATATATGAAAATCGTATGCAAAACGGTTACCCATATTGTGTGTGTCTGTAGCCAATAATAAGTTTCAGCGAGTGCCTGTGTCATCGTTCTCACACATGGTCCACACAATCTCTGGAAGCCTAGAATTTAGCTACCTGTAGGCCTGTCTTTGAATTATCTCGTGAAACGACATAAAGTAGACACAGTAAACGTTCTTGTAACAATGAAATTCAAGCTAATTCCTCGGTGACAGATACACTCACTTAGTGCATCATCACATCAACTCAGATTATTGAGATTCTTTCTACCATGCCCACGAAAAGAAACTCAATTAGACAAACATGGATAACCCAATTCATCGCCATGTTCGATTGGAGTAATTTGTGGTTGGTCACGACAAGGAGCTTGATAAAGGTTCAAGTACAACGTGCAGCCAATTATTTCTAAAGCCTTCGGCTTGTCCGAGAGAGACGTCAATATTTTTTCTGGTTTAATATTAGGCTTCAAAGTCCTCTCAACGGTCAGCTGCGGTGTATTACTCATTTACGTACATCGATCCTGGAACTTTAATCAGCGCAAAAATTCCTTTGATCCGGGTTTAAACTGTGCTGTCGTACGGGCGACGCCACGTATAGCTAATGTTGATGTGGTGTGCCTGTGCTGCCCGGTGTGTTTTCGCAAAGGGGCGTCAAACGGCGAGGCGTCTTCGGTTGTTTCGAAATTTACTGCCGCCCGTCTTCAACAGGCGTCTTTCAGGCGTCCGCCGTGGTCCGTGCATTTCAACTTTGGTTCTGCACCCACCCAAGCGAAACGCGGAGGCGCAAAGTCTGCCTACCTGTCGATTAATGTCTTCGATATCCACAATAATATACCGGCTTTTGTTCTGGTTCTTCCACAAGGTGTTGCAGAAGGTCTACCATCAATACGGTAGACTATTCAATGAGGAGGCCTTCGGTTCAATGATCTGGAACAATACAAGCCCCAGTATAACAAGCAGGGGAGGCTGCCGGAATACCAGAGGAACGCAATGGGGAGCAAGCGGAAACTCATGAAGATATAACCACAGCAACCGTGATGGGATTTAATAAACATTTCGGTATAACGAAAACTATGCCCAGCGAACAAGTATGCTGCGCAGCTTATTGCAGAATGCAAACATTAAAGATGGACAGACAAACTGCGGAATTATTTCAGAGCGTCTATGGCTTACTCGCTTACTCACCCCGAGGTGTACAGCAGACAAGGCAAACGAGTTGATGACGCCAGCGCGCCGATGTAACAGGGGATCACTTGTAAGCGTGCAATCCATACTTGAAGTTGTGCTGTGATACTACCGGTGTAAGGAGGAATGCCCTCCAACGGGAAGTTCCTTATCCGCAAACACCAACTAAGCAGCTACAACCTATTGAACCAAAAACTGAGCATCTTATTCGCTAGTAGTTTCTGGAAACCAAGACTTCTCAAGGGTCTTGGAAGAGTCTAAATTATGCTATTGTAAACAGACACCGTAAATCAGTTGCACAAGTTCAGTAATAGAATTCACCGTCAATTGGAGGCGGCGTGGAGCTTCAAGAGGTCCAGAGACTTCGCGCCTGCCTAATCAGTATTATCCGCCGTTACAGATATAATAGGCCATCTGTTGTTTTCGATTAAGGCCTTCATTCCAAAGAGCCTAGTTGCGCAGGTGGATTTTCAGATTGGTGGTGTATTGTATAGACAGTCCGAAGCGAGTTCCACCCCCCGACATGGATGATTTCCACCCAAATAACCAACCTGGTATGAAAGGCTCTATGAATGTTACATATACACTACTCAGTGGAATGTTGAGGCGCACAAACCGTCAACAGTCTGTGCGGTCAATTCTCTCTCTAAAAGACCTAGAGACAACATATGTACAGTTTGAATGTCAATAATGACAACAGGCGTTCTGGAGCACACTTTGAGGGTCATTCACGAGTTTGTTTCATCTAGGTGTCATGGATGAAGCATCTTCCGATACCAAGGTGTTATCCATGGTCAGTAAGATGATCGTAGTTCTAAGTTAGACAACTGGTTAAAAACTGTCCAACCTCCATCACCCAGCCAACGAGCAACCAGGAACAATTTGTAGAAGTCGTGTTTAAATTATCGATCGAATGAGGTCAGGCTGAAGAATATTGTGAAACCCGCTGCAAAATCACATGGTAAACAGTCATTACTATTTCAGCTTCATGGGGAAGCACATTGGTGTGATGGAGATTTTCGTTTGATTTTTATTCACACCCGGATTAACAGCTATTTTTGATGAAAATTGGATGGTAATGGGGATTGAAGACCGTTGAATCTATGCAGCCATTGATGTGTAACACGTCCAAACATTTGGGACTTTCGCACATGGAATAATCAGCAATGCACTCTCGGGATAAATTTTCGCACTGAATTCCCACCATCTTAATGCAAAATTAACGCAGTTTATTTGTTATTCACAAGGGGTTTGAAAGAGAGCTTTGACGGATTAGTACGAGAGCATTCCGTGAGGGCTGCCTTGCTAGCCATTAATGAAACTTGTCTCATGTGATAGTGTCCGAAGAAACTGATAAATATGATGCAGCGAATCAGTATTGATAATAGGTTTGGATTTACCACACTCCCGACGAATTGAGGTGTTTTCTTTCCTTGAGTAAATCTCCATCAAATGGGGTGCGGCGAAAACTAATCAGCTGCTCGAAACAGGCAAATATCTTACTAGTTAGTTGTCGTGCCCTAAATTCAAGTAGTTAGTTAGCAGAAACACACGCGAATGCGATACATTCAAATTATTGGACAGGAATAATGCATGATATTTCACCAAGAATGCATGATCCCAAGCGTTCTACTTGCCTTCTTGAGCTTCCCCGACTTGACTCCCGTTTGTACTTTACTTCAGGCGAACGTTTTCCACACCTACCTCGTCTTGCGTGCAAACAAAATTCCAGCGGAGAATATAATCACCTTCGCCTACGACGATATTGCAAACAATCCTAAGTAAATATCATGTACAATATTTGACATCTGATGGTAACTAGTCTACTAGTCTGATAGTGACTAGTCTTCAGAAATCGTTTTTCTCTATTTGGCTTCAACTTGTCTCATTTTTGCGCCGTAAATTTTACGGATATAAATCATGAATGGAACTGGATGCCGTGTGTCTTTTGCGCCACTCAAGATAAAGTCTCTGTAAAGTCTCCACCATTTCATGGCGTTTCACGACACCAAACCCCATATAACTCTGACGAAATCAACACTAGTGAATAGCAAAGTTTGACTTTGTTTCGATTGTCAGTAGTCTGGAATAAACAACATCGATACCAATATGTCGTTTGAGTGCATCAGACGGCTAATGATTTGGATCGAGGATAAAGCGGACAACGTAGAAGTCTTAAAATTTTGTAATACAACCGATTGCTGTCTTCAGTAGAGGAAACATTCTGCGGAACTTAAATGTTCCTTCTGGCTTCCAGTTTTCAATAATCGTAAGTTGTTTACTGCCGAATCGATTTACATTCACGGACACTTGGTGAGGATATGCTCATATAAACTGTTACTAGTAGCGTTGGCTGTACATTTACATAAAATAGTCACCTTTTTAAAACAATTTGTAAGGTTCAAAGTTGTCCACCCACCGGGATCATTGTGGGATGCATAGACAAGAGTTGCGATGCAGATCGTTATTATACATTCAATTGAAAGTGGGAAACAGGATGCCATCACCGTCGTTAAAGTTTAGCCAACTACAGGACAGGTAGCAAACTTCCAGAAGAATTTCCTTTTTCCATTCCTTTCCATCCGAACTACACGTAAATTCTTTTGCAAAAAGCTCGCTGCGCCTTCTCATTGTTTTATTTCAGAAATCCGTTTCCAGGTCAAGTGTTCAATGACTACGAGCTAGAAAATGTTTACAAGGATGTGGTAATTGACTACCGTAGAAAAGTATGTCCGTGCACAGAAATTAAATGAATTTGTTCAATGTGTAACACAAGGTGCAAATAACATGACATTGCGTATAAAAACACAATGGCAACCGTAGAGCAGGCCAACCAGTTTTACTGCATTCTAGAACGGTTAATTTGCCTGAACGATCAACCTGATGCAATCGACACAGTGGACACCAGATTAAGTTGCAGTCATTGTGGCATGTCCCCGCTGGTGAAGTGCAAATTATAACTGTTTCGGTTGTCAGTAGTCTGAAATTAACAACATCGATACCAAGATGTCGTTTGAACGCATCAGCCGGCTGATGATTGGAATCGAGGATAAAGTGGACAACCCAGCATCGTTAGAGGAAACATTCTGTTGATCTTAAAAGTCCCTTCTGGCTTCGAATTTTCAATAATCGTAAGTTGTTTACCGCTCAATCGAATTACATTCACGGACACTAGGTGAGGATATGCCCATATGACCTGTTACTAATGGTGCTTGGCTGTATAATCAAATAAACCTACTGCCTTTCACCCAATAATGTGTGATTTTCTAAGATCTCTACCTATCGGCATCATTGTGGGATCTATACGTCTATGTTGCGATGAACATCGTTAGATTACACTTAATTGAACGTGTGACACAGGTTGCATTAATCTTCGTGAAGGTTTTTCCAGTAACAAGACCGGGAGAGAACTTCCAAAACAATTCCATTTTTTGTCATGTCATTCTGTTGGATCTACATGTAACTTTTTTGCAAAAAGCGCACGGTGCACTTATGTTTTTCAATTCAGCAATCCGTTTCCAGGTCAAGTGTTCAATGACTACGAGCACCCGGATCACAAAAAGGGTGTGATGATTGACTACCATAGAAAAGTATGTCCGCGCGCAGAAAGTAACTGCATTTGTTCACTGTGTAACACAAGGTGCACGTAACGTGACACTGCGTATGGAAACACAATAGTAACCGTAATGCAGACTAACAGGTTTTACTGCATTCTAGAACGGTTAATTTGCTTGAACGAACACTAGTCATTGCGTCATATGGAACTCTCAAGCAGCACGTGACCGATTTCACACTCGTGCTTGCGGCCTAGCGAGTAAGCCTTCAGTGAACTAACGGTAAATTCACAGCTTAGTTCTCGATCTTAACCTTCAAAGCTAGCGTTTTTATCAAAAGAAAAGCGTGTCACTGCTCGCACCCATATGCAGAGTTCCGTTCATGAAGTGTATGCTTCGAATATTATCTGGAAATTGTGGTACCTCCTGGATTGGCCATTGGCGAACAGCGTTCGATGGACACAAAATCAGGATTGGCTAATGGTTTCAATCATAGTTCGTCTTGGTAACCTGTCTGATAAAAATACCATTATGCGCAATCTCACAAACAATCACTTTTTATGTTCTCATCATTCAGCGACCGTCAGTAGCGCGCGGTTGTGAAAGGCCAGCTATCTGTTCGGACTTGTACAAATTGGGGTGGGTCGACCGTGGTTTGCACGGATTGAGGGTTTGTTTTGACTCATTGTGTTGTCTCAAACCTGAATTATGGATAGTCGAAATCCATGTTCATTCGCAGTGCTGTCGATTGGCTGAATAGGAGCCCCTCAAACCCGTATCAACATTCTCCGGTAACACTCTGAGCTTTTAGAGTGCCGTGCCAGTCTTGGGTTCCATGTCGATTGGCAACTCACAGTTCATGTTTCGTGAATTTTTCCACGGCTTCTTGACTCGCTTATGATGGGAGGGGAGGTGTCGGTTTACAGATGCAAGCCAAGAAACCAGGATAACTTTTATTCGCTTGCATACCATAAATCTCCCATTCGGTCAGTTATACAATCTGTGGACTTGGATTGGTGGCGCAATCCTTGATTACCCGATCGTTGTGCGTATTAACCGATTCAGTGATTCGATCCCGCAAGTAGTTTGTTGAGATAGAGAAGATAGATAGGTAATAAAGGGTGATAACGTCCCGTGCAATACGTAAAGGGTGTTATCAAAGGAAAGAGCCTTCACTCAAACAAACTCCGAAAAATCAGCCTACAGCACAACAGGAAATCAGAACGAATCAATCGAAATGAAACACCAAACGCAGAAGTCGGATTGAGAGCCAATCAAATGTGGGGAAGGAGACCGTTACACAAGAGTAATCGGTAACCGATCCATCAGACCATGAACGAATGGTGCTGAGACAGAAAACACTTGAGTTCAGGGAATGCAGCCCACATGCAGCAACTACATTTTCAGACGGAATATGTTGTTGGGCCTATTCTGGGGATACAGCGGACAGATGAGCACTCTCTTGATCAAAGCATAATATCGGGCAGATATGGAAGAACTGCCGACCCAATCACTCACTCATGATATCACTTCCGTTGGTGACGGATCACTTGCAAACTGACCACCAGGATCAGAGAACAGCTGAGCATATGGCTTTGTGAATGCCCCTTTTCGCACCTTGGTTATACTATTGTTTCTCAGTAGTGAATACAACATGAGGATATTTTCATTAAGAAATTTATTTATGCTGCCCAGAGCGCGATTTGGAAATAGCTGAGTGTCACCGTTCGAATGGCAAATGATAAAACTAACTAAAGTGGAATACTGGCTCTAACCACTCGCATATATTAAAAGCCAAATGTGCCGCTATAATGCGTGAAACAACAGCAAACAAACAGGCGTCCTAAAAGTACACCATGGACAGGATTGAACTCTGTAACTTGCTATAGCCTTCTGATTTCCTTCATCACCTGTTAACCAAGGCCGTTTACATTACAACCCTGCTTCTAAAAATTATGACTTAACTCATAGTTTTTGGGAATATTCCAACTGGTTCCCACTTATATGTCACTTTTGCTGTGCCTTCTTATGTGCTCGGGCGCCGCCAGATTATATGCCATTCACGACCGTTTAATTTTCCCGGTAACTTGCAGCGGTCCTTGAGACTACGTTTTCATTTATTACACTGGCCCCGGTGGGATAACATATGTCACTTTCACGTATGGAAAAGTAAGTTTTTTTAATTTTGGCTCATAGCTGTTCAAAAGGAGGTCAAACTGACAACGGATTGAATGGGCACATTGCTTCCGGTAATTCCCCATAAAACGGAGTTTATAGTT